CCGAAGAGCTTACCCCTGCTTAGCCATCTTTTCGATCTATTGACTATGCATACGCCTGTATGCATGTCAACTCGAATAAAAGCTTTGCCGAAACAACCAGGTAAAATTCACCACCCAAATTTATTTCAGATCATGCGATATGATTTTAGCGAATATCATTTTCATACTTAGAATGAATGATGCTCATTAAAATCATAATATAGCACGATCTGAAATAAATTTGGACCGAAACTTTAATTAGCAATCCACATAAGAACGATAGTATTATTATATAGTAACTATAGCGCAATTTACTGTTTTTTATATAGTTTTGAAAGTTTTTTTTTCCTCATTCATTAAGAAAATTCTATATAATATAAATATCTTAGGAGTTATTAAATCAATTTTAATGATTTTTTTTAACTATATGTAAAAATGTTTTCTCTACAGTATATTAGCTTAGTAAAAAAATATAGTTAGCCAAGGAGGAAATGAAGATTTCATAATTATAATAAATTTAGTAGTAATTTGCGCATATGAGATACTATTCATCTTAGATGAATTAGCAATTAAAACGTTATTTTATTTTCAATATGGTATATGATTTACTAACCAAGCTTCGGTACCCCAACAATTGAATTTAACTAATTTTAGGTTCAATTTTTAAATCAGGACTAGTTGAATCAGGAGCTGGACGTTCTAAAATTCAATAGAATAAGGCTTTTAAAGTCTTTTACGTCAAAAATATATTTATTTTTATTAGACTAACTTTTGATAAACTAGGCAATACATCATCTTCACATTCATTTTAGCGACAAAATTAATGGATAAGTTCATCGGCAATCAACAAGATTAGCATGTGTCTTTTTTAGAATTAATACTATTGTTTCTTCATGCTAAGGTAAAATAGGTTATAAGAATTTATTGTGAATAAATATAAGGTAATACGGGATCGTTAAATTGCTTTTATTGAAAAATCATGAACACACAAAGAGTTAAAATTTAAATAACTTAATCCTTTACATCCGTTCATAACAAGTTAGCTTAATTTATATATAGACTTAACTCCATGTAATAGACGTAAAAAAATGTAACGGCCTTAAAAATATAAATTCAATAGTGCTTATAGTCGATCCTTAGACTAATTCAATATTTAAAATTCGGCTTAGCCGGCTAAATCAAAGTCAATTAATATCTTTTACCTTCGGAACCTATCGGAGATTTCATCAAATTTTTGTCGCGACCTTGCTCGCATTTTATGTTCGTTGATTTTCTTCAGAATTTTTCGGCACCTACTCTTAGTACTATGTACTAAGTCGATTTTTTGGAAAATCAGCTGACTAAGCCGACTAAGTCGATAAAATCGACTAACACAAATACATTTATTATACCGAATCTTCTGGTTCAACATATCCTGATTTAGGCTCGAATTGAACCTAAATTAGTTCAATTTATGAATATCGAATTATTAGTTTAAAAAATATAACGATAACTAGATAAGTGAGTCTTAGCTTAAAATATAACGGCTTTAATTAGAGATTAGAGATTAGGTATCGCGATGATCATTTCTCCGATAGGTCATTCATTTACATTACATGAGGTGATAATTTGTTAATAAATATATTCAGTATATCGATATGTTTTATCCCGAATCTGTCGCGATTCACAGTTCCGGATGAGAATTTTGTAATTTTGGCCCGAATTATACTAATCAAAGTTAAAATTTTTATTATAAACCCTAATCACATTAACCCTAAAGTCTTAATTCTGCCATCCAGGGCAGCCCGGTTTTGAATCGAATGATTTCAATCTGGATACGATATCTACAACTAATAAAAATACTAACCCTAACTCTATGTAATGCTAGGTGAATAGTCTAATAATTATCAGAAAATTAAACAACCCCAAAGCATATAGGGCTTTTTTACAAACCTGAGCAGACTTTGTTCTTATTTATAAATATACATTAATTTTTTTATATTATAGTATAAATATTTGCTATAAATTTATTATTATAATCTATTTATATTCTTTACAAAATTTTTTTTTTTTAGTTTGTAATACAGAAATAATGGAGGTTATATTGTTTGCAGGATATCAATAATTTTCGTTATCAATTGGAATCAGGATTACTTAGGTTACAAATTTAATACAATTTATAAGGGAGAGTCGGGTATTGTGGCGCGCTTGTATTTTTTTTTTTAGCGTTATCTTAAAACTCTCCGTTCAGAATCGAACAATTTAGTACTATTCGATTCGTTTTATCGAATCATATGATATAAAAATCTCTTTATTGGATCACTAGCCTACAAGTTATGATTAACGCTAGGAGAAAACTTGTAAATTGGTTAATAAATTCATTTACTATACTATAGGTATATATCAAATATCGATATGCATAGTGATAGTTTTAATTCTTATTTTCAATAATATTAAAAAATAAAAATTCAGTTCTTCTTTAGTATAGGTGGGCATATAGAATTATTATATATAAAAACTACCGGATTAGATAATTTTATTAGTGCCAATTCTTAAGTGCCGCATAATACCAAAACTGTATTAAAAATCTATATTACTAAAACTGTACTAAAAAATTGGACAAGTGCATAGCGTTTCCATAATATCATTATCATGCAAAATACACGTTTTCATTGTAAAGAAACTAATTATTTGCAAGAATGAAACCTTTTTCCAGAATATTTATATATTTAAATTTCAACAATTTTATAAAATACTTTTTACACATATGAGTGATGCCAAGAGAAAACTCAACATTTGGTTTTCTCTTGACGTCACTTATATAATACAAAAATATATATAAGTACAACATAATATATATACTATTCACAAGCCTGACAAAATGCTACAGTATACCATAAGAGTTCTAAAATTTTTCTTTAATATAAAGTGGGAATTAAAAGAGAACTGCCTTAAAGAATGTGAAAATTTTAATTGTTGGTATCCATCTCGCGAAAATCTCTCAACAGAGCTAATATCGCATCAGTGGATCCAATTATACAACCAATAATTCCTACTACCATCACAAATATATTCCATAACAATGCCCAAATAGACATACTTTTCCATCCAAATAGCTTCAAATAAAATACTACAGGGAAAACGAAAACGGTGGCACACGTCGAGAGTGCCCCCAAAAATGACATAAAGTCCCTAAAAAAAAAAAATAAAATAAAAATTATTAGAGTTTTTGTAAAAAAAAGATATATTAAAAACGTGTCATGTTAAACGGAAAAAAATATGAACCCAAAAAATGGGACCGATATGGCGATTCCTGTACATATAACAATAAGACCAGTTCGGAACAAAGCGCGAAGAGCAAGTTCGGCCCAAGGAGAATAAAATTCACGTGTGATTTTTAAATATTGTTCAACTTCAATGGCAAAAGATGTCAAATAAATCGGAGCAGTTGTAAGTACGTGTATTGTCATAAATAAAGTCGCTATTGTCAACACTAGACCTACAAGATTAAAATTCTGTTAATATTAATTGTTTCGAGATAATTGAGACATCTTTCAAGACAATTTTCGAAAAGATTTTGCTAATAAAACCTTTACCTTTAGGTAAATTAAGAAAAACAGGGCTCATTGTATCATCACCATACACATAATATCCAGCAAAAGCGATTATTGCATACATAGCTGCACATGTTGCCAAAGCCAATCCAACGACTATATTCCAACTTTTTTTATCTTTTGAAAAAAGTTCAGAATTAAGAATTATAATTGGTAAATAGAATTAAACAGATAAAAAAAAATGGTATACGCACTTTTCATATTCTCTTCTATATGAGGAAAAACACAATTTCCTCCAAATGAAAATGAGATTGAAGCGAGTGCAATGGGGAGTCCCGTAAATACAACTATACTATACGAGGGCGGATCAGGGGAGTTAACAACATTTGAAAGATCCGCAAACGAAAGTACCACGATAGCGATAACAGTAAAAAAAGTGGTGACAGAGCCAAAAACGCTGATAATATATATTATTGTAAGTTAATAATAAATTAATGAATAAAAAATTTTTTTTAAAGTAATACAGTAATAATAATAATAATAATAATAATAATAATAATAATAATAATATGGGCAGCCGTCAATAGAAATAAGGCAGATTGACATTTTAAAAAAATCAATACC